TCTAAATATGTTTTGTTTTGTATTTTACATTCGTAAAAATAATTTTGAAACAATTTCATACTTTATGAAAGTAAATAATATAAAAAATACATGTATAAAAACAACATTTAACTTAGTGTTGATAGAAAATGTAACTAAAAATGGAGGAAAAACATTATCAGATGGCAGATGTTTCGCAAAACTCATTTACTGATATGCGAGTGTTAACAATCAAATAACGTGATACATACGTAATGAAATCTGCAAAAAAATAATTCTCGAAAAATATAAAAAACAGAAATATAACGTAATAACACACATATAATTTAATAATATGCGAATATGTTATAATAATATGCCAAAGTGAACTACCAAATAATAATCAATAAACACTTAAGAACATAAAAAAGAATGTAATGTGAGAAACAAACATTTGGGAGAGAAAGCACAAATAAGTGAAGTCCATGAAATAAAAAAGAAAAGAAATCCAATAGCACGCTAGAATGGAGTAAACGTAAGAATCCAAAAAGCTCAAGAGAGTAAAAAAAAATTCGTACAACACAGCAAGAACGCCATCAAGCAAACGTATTTCCAAGAGAGGCCAGAAATAAACACTTGAATACCTCGCACCGTTCACGGCCTTCCGAAACCCGTTGAGGAATAATTTCTGAGATAGTTGCGGGTAGGGGGAGGCTTAGAGTGCGTCAACGGTCTTTCGGCTGCGTTAACAGCCGCGCCCAGAAACAGAAGGCTGAATTGAGCCTACGCGCAAGCGTTTGTTCCTCAGAAGAAAAGAAGCCGCTGTTGAAAGGGGGCAGGGGGCCTAAAGATGTTGGACTGAATGAAGAAAAGGTAAAGTGCGGCCCTTCCCAGCAATTGCTGAAATTAAAATCTGGCGAAGAAATAAAACAAAGAAGAAAAGCGAGGTCGAGTGCTGACATGAAAATACACAGACTTGAAGACGAACGTCAAGAGTTAAAGGGATATCTTTAATAATAACAACAATAATAATAATAATATTAATAATAATAATAAAGATAATAATAATTGATAAATCAGGACAAAAGATAGATAGTCAAGATTAACACGAGTTAAATCATAAAGACTTTATTCCATCTTAAACAAAGAAAGCATTTCGTGGGTGACACGTGCTCCACTTTATGAACGCCAAAATAAGGTTGTGAGTTAACATATCAGGTTATCGAATAGATATATTTAAAAATCTTACATTACATGAAAACATATTTGCACTTTTGGCACAATCCCTGTGTTACCAATGCATGAGAGTATTGCCAGATTGCCAGATCGCAAAGTCAACCATGTCATTGAAGTCAAACTTCGTCAGGTCGCATGCACTTTAATGTATACTTCGATTAAAAGATTAAGTCTTTTCGATTTAAACATTTATTATAAAGCGTGACATTATTTTGAAGTGAATTTAGAGAAATTGTGCGAACTTATTATATGACTTTATAAATAATATTCTTCATGAAAAGACGATTACAATCTACAAGAGTATCCATAAAGGTGGAAGATGGAAGTGGGAATCTATGAACGTATGGAAAGCAAGCAAAGAGACCGAAAACTTTCTAATAATTATATTCTTATCTTTTCCATGAACATCCGAAGACTTATGAAAATCCCATTTCAACTTTTAAAAAGTTTTACGTGATATTTGAGTCATAAATTTCTTATTACAGAGTTCATGAATGAATTAACGTCAGCCGCATTGGTGAAAGAAGGGAAACTGAAAGATATTAATTTCTCACTGGGTTCTACTTCAAGGATTCGTAAAAACGACACTATAAAGTATAAATTTAATTGAGGCCTGGAAATGATAATCAACTAAGGACAAATATTTTACTTTCAAAAATATGAATCTGAGCCAACCCACAGCCAAAAAAGCTGCATTTCAAACATATTCCAGAATCTGTGAAAGCTACAAATAAATAGTTTAATCTGTTATCCTTTTTGATTTTCTAATAGAGTACTTTGCAGACAACTCCATTAGTCAGCGATATTTATGTGGTTTTTGAATCGCAGATATTGAAGATGATTTGTTTGATTTTTTGTTGAATATAAGTGAATATTCCGTTGCATTTTGAAGTTCACACGAGGGATTGGCTCTGAAAAGCTTTTAATGCATGAAAGATGTCGGTGTGGTAAATCACATAAAACAAAAAGTGGAAATGACCATCTACACCATTTAATATCTAGAAAATGGGAAAGAAATTGTTAAATACAACGTTGTAAGAAAAGAACGGTGTATCAAATGAACGTTCCAATGACATAATTGTTTTCGTGTCATAGAAAGTTATAAAAGAGAAATGATGATGAAATGCTTTGTCATGATTGAACTCGGCTTGCAACTTTTCCTGAGATGCCAACTCTCCCTGCAAAACATGGTTTGAGTGACACTACAATACTTTAAATCGATGAAGCTACTAAAAGAGATTTTAAAATGATTTGGAAAATGGAAAGTTACAAAGATTATCGTGTATAATTTTTTATGTTTGATCAGACATAACTTTTGTAAATTGTTCTAGATGTATACTTTTCTTCGCGTTAAAGGAAATAATTTTGCAGTAATCTTAAAGGCGCGACTGATTTCGCTGATACCTTTCTTTCTGTGTTGTCAAACGGCACCCGCACGAGCTAAGAGGGCCATTCAAATATAAACCGGAAATTCGTGTATTTGTGTTGCGTATTTACGTAATCAGCGCGGCGTCGTGACGCAACTGTGACGGTAACAGAGAGGAGGTAGCCATAAAAATACTCGTTCATACTCACGTCTGCCTTTTCGTTATGACTAAAATGAACAGAAATTTTCAATGTCTGTGGCGCAATGCGTAATTATTCGTTTTCTTACCAACAAAGCTGTGAAATGTATTTAAATTTTGAAGAGACTCGGAACACAGCTTGGTCACACTTCTAAGTAAACGCCAAATGTTCAATTGGACCAGAAGTGTCAAAATGGTCGTGAAAAATTGGAAAACGAATGCTAATGACAGCGTACGGTAATCAACGTAAAATTAAAGCATTATTCAAGCAGTGCGTGAGCTTTTTTTAGGCAGCCGCAGCATCTCTATAGCGCATATTGCATCAGAGGTGGATGTAAGTGTTAGAAGTATCTAAATTATTCTATCGGACGACGACTACCAGCGGCTGACGTTCGGATTGGTGTTACCGATTCACGATGTGATCATGCGCGGCAACACAGCCGCTTTTAGTAGTTCTGATTCATTATGAATTCACGAAATTGCACTAGCTACTTAGGAATTCACTGGCTACTTCTAGACTACGCACTACGATTTAGACTTGTGTGACTACCATATGTTTAGTCCAATAAATATGGCGTTTGATGGAAAAGGATTAGAAGAAGATCCTGCGGTCAAACAGTACGTGCGCAATTTGCTACTGTTGGAGCCATCTTTTTTCCATAAATGAATCGGGAATTTTCCTACGAAATTTCCTATTTATGTCGAAGGAAACGATGTTGGAAAATGAGATGAACTCAATCATCAGCATGTAGTAATGCGGGAATTTTCAGGCCATCAATTTCCTGCGAAGCTGTCTCCGCTTCCTGTACCCAAGAGATTGAATCGCTTACAAACAAGATAAACAATAGCGATGTCAGAGAACAGTCCTGTCTTATTCCTACTGTCGATTTTATTTTTCGCGTTGTACTTTCGTACCCAACGCAGAAATTTACTTCTATGTGCATACACTGCAACACATTTAAAACTTTACGTGAGATGCGTAGATCATTTAGTTTTTGCCGTAAAGCTTCCCTATTTATTGACTGAAAAGCCTTTTCAAAATCCACTAAACTACAGTATAAATGGCCTGGTTTACGTGAAAATGCCACTTTTACTCGGTATCTAACACAGAGATATTATCGGTGGTTGCGAACCCTCTCCTAAAACCTGCTTGCAATTTAAAACCTTTACCGTATTTTTACGCCCATTCACACCTGTTAAGTATTTTAAAAATGTTTGCTTAGCGCTGGTAAAAGACTAATGCAACGATAACTTTTTGGGCAGTTCGTATCACCTTTATTCTTAAAAACCGGTTGGAGGATAGATGTACGCCACGTTTCTGTGTACGATCCGGAATCAACAGTGCTATGAAACATCTAGAATACTCTCTGGAGCCAAGTTTCACAACTCCGAAATACGTTTTGTCGGAATGCGACGTGGCCGCCCTGATTTCTTACTATTCCATTGGAGGTTGGAAAAATTCGCCGTGAAATCGGCAACTATTGGAAACATGATATGTTGCCGTTTGTGGTACGGAAGAGAATGATTTAAAGGAAGATGTATTAGGACAAGTAGTTTACTTATGAAAGTATACACAAAGTGAGTTTTCCCCCTACTGGTCAGCTGAGGATTTATAGGTTTCGTGTTAATGCGCTTTTCCTTAAAAAACTAGTCACGTGTTTATGTTTTTGGCCTATAATGAATCGACTCTATACCTTATCCCGTCCGTTTTAAAACACTTTAGCCCTTTTCAAAAAAACTGTATGAAGGTTTTTCCGTATTGGTTAGATCATAATAGGGAAGAAAGGAATAATTGTGTATTAATAGAACTAAAGAGAGACATTTCTTTAATGTCTAATTTATTCATGAAAAATATCATTGATTATAGTAAATAAATGCATTTGATGTAGTTGGAGGTGAATTGTAAATCGGAACATATTTTCGGAATTATATAAATACAAATTTTAGAAAGAGAAGGTTGAAGGAAATTTGAAGAGTAACTGCTGTAGTTTGCTGTAAGGTTTTACGTTTTTATGAGTTTGAGATTTATAAAATATATTTTGATCAGTATGTTTAACTGAATAGAAGTTTATTCTGGTTCAAATTTAAAGATGTTCCGATTATGAAAAAGTTATATTTTTGTATAACTTGCCACATCAAATTATGACAATGTAACATACGAAGTTGAATGCCAATTAAAATTCACTATCTTATTTTACGTATATAAATTGCTTTGGTGTATTTTAAAACAAATCGGGAAAAATGGAAAGTGAACAAGTAAGTATGGAACTTTAACGAATTGCAATCGTCAATGCCATTCAACACCAAGATAGTTGAGACCATCATAAAACTTATAATTCATCATCTTGTTAATGCGCAATACCTAAAGAAAAGTCTGCAAACGCCAAAGAGTTAGCATATCTTTACGCTGGTTCGCCCTTCATGGAATCGGAGTTGCGTGTTGGGATCTACAGAAAGGCGCACCGGAAAAATCTAGATAGGAATAAGAAGAAAAGCGAAAAAATTTACCTATAGAAGTAACGCAAACAAAAAAGTCATGGGAACTCAGAAACGAGGAAAGAACAAAGGCAAGGCTTTGCGCTCTTTTATAATCGTACGTAGGTCAACAGCTTGGAAGAAATTCAGATAGATTAGAAACCAATTAATTTCAGCGAAGCGATCACACCACAAAATTTGAAGCAAGGACACAAAATTCAGATCTTGGGAAGTTTTTTCATTTGTAACAGAAAATAGAGATTGAAAGTGTACTGCAGCTTTTCAAAGCTTTTCCTCTCAGTGTCCGAAGTTTTAGAAACAAATTAGAAATATATAAATAGGTAATGTGCTGTGTGTGTGTGAGTGCTGTGAAGTGCTGGCAGTGTGGAATTCAAAGGTAATCCAAAGCAAAAAAATGTAGGTGTAGTGAAATGAGTGAAGTGAAGTGAAGTGAAGTGAAGTGCGGTTGACGTGATATGCTGTTTTCCAATGCTTGCTTTTCGTTCTTGTACTGTATTGTAACCGGTATTATTATTAATTATTATTATTATTATTATTATTATATTATTATTATTATTATTATATTATTATTCTTATTATTGTTAGTATCATTAATTATTATTATTATGTATAGTGTTGTAATTTTTGCAATCATGTGCTATTAACTGGTCACGGGTAATACGCAATTGCAGTTCTAATTAAATGTAGGTATGTATGTATGTATCATCATCATTATCATCGTCGTCGTCGTTGTAGTAGAATGAAGTAAACTCGCTTTACTATTTTTACGTACCCTCGTTGAATAATGTTATGGTCCCTACCTAAACATTAATTTATTAATATCCTTTAGAATCAGAGCACATTATAAACGCAGGTGTGTGTTTTATTGTAGAACTAAATAGAAACTATATTTTAATATAAAATTACTTTTAATGCAAGAATGCAACTATTCACAAAAAACCGTTTTCGAGGTTTCAGCAGTGTCCTAACGCAGTTTAAAATATTTACTGACAAAAAATAACCGGGTGTTTCTTTTCTTCTGAACTTCAAATTTATTAATTCTGCTCCGTATGAATACCAATAATACAATATAAATTAAGAGATACCATCAGCACAGTCCACGAAAACATGTTTCCGGAGGGGCAGTTACAAATGTAAAAATTTAGATGAGAGCAGATGCAGCAAACTTGAATATTCAGTGGAAATAATGGGCCACGTTAGTGATATAAGCGTATTTTTGTTCAATTTTGGAACAGTGCAGTCATGGTGTGGAAATGTGACGTTGTTCGGCTCATTGTGCCTGTTTTGTTGATAATTTTTCTAAGTTGTGCTGAAGCTCAAAAGAAAGCAGTAAGTTTTACTTACGTATTATATTTCGTTTTCGTAATTGATAATAGTATGTTATGAGAAAATAATATGTTTTAAGTGGTTTTAAGTTCGATAGAGACATTATTAATCTACAAGAATAAACAAATGTAACTAAACGCCGCGGAAAAAAATGCTCACCTATAGATTCTTCAACGAGGAACAAAAGAGAAACTTCATTGTAGTAATATGATACGAAAATGCTCCACTTTGTTCACTTACCACAAGAAATGTTCAAGGTGACCTTCACCTGCGTGAATCTGATGTTCTTTGCGTTGAGTGATGAACACGTTCAAAATTGCCTGTTGTAGTGCGTACAGCCTGACACACTAGCTTCTTGGCTATTCGGGAGACGCCATTGCGCGCCACGTCCTAGGCTCAGGTGCCAACGTTTTAGCTGCCATTCTGCGACCTTCCTTAGAGCGAAATTTTGGCATCTTCTTGACAGTCAAGCAACTGTTGACTCTTGCCTCGGGCGTCTATGCTCTTGGCGTTGCACAGGTTGCCACAATGTGTGTGTTGTATGATTCAGCATGAACAACAGTGTCATCAAACACTTGCTCTCCCGATATTTTGAAAGCATATAAAAGGCTCGCGTAAATCGCTATGGATTCCTTCAAACATCTTTTCGTCGTCGAATCTGCAGATTTGGTGCTATTCTTGATTCACACGTCATGCTTTCAAGTGAACTTTGATTGCTTGATTGATGTTTGATGAATGGATTGAGCAATGATGGATTGATTGATTGATTGATTAATTTTCAATGATTTCGGAATCACGAATGGCTAAAGTCATTCTTCCCGTAAGTGTAGCACATGTTTATTCGTCGAGATGTGGCGATGATCTTCCTACACTGAATGGCAAGATCCAACGTGGACCTGCCGACGGCTAGCGGGGTTTTCCGTCAACCAGGTATCTCTCACCAGTGGGGCATCACCCCAGCCTCAACGCTGCATCGACATCCACCAAGATACATTATGCAAAGCCAAGTCATGTGACGAATGCACTCGACTTCTATGTCAGGTGGAAACTGAAAGCCATAGAAAAAAAAAACTTTTTACAAACTTCATATCATTGTTAATTAGATCGCTAGTGAGGTAGATACCTTCTAATATTTTTTTCATACTTACCATTTGGGGGATATAACCCTGAAACTATTATTTCTTGTGATTCATTTGTGAACTACGTCTTACCACAAATCAGGATCTCTGTTGCTCCATCTCTTTTTGTTACAGTTTCAACACAACTGTTAATTCTTCGCACAAGATGCAGATGAAATACTGTCCGGAGTTAAATATTCTTAATGTTTATCATTACTTTTTCTTTAAATTCATGATCTGTTGGCGATAACAATACATTTTCTAAATCCCAATCAATATATTTAGAGGCCAAATGTTTTAAATTTCAGCTGTGTGTTATCGAAGTAGTACTATTCTAACTAAAAGTCAGAATGATAGTAAAAAGAATTTAATGTGACAAATTACTTGTACGCAGGGTCCATATGATTGCTTCAGAATTACAAAAGTTGGACCTTGCGATGGTTTTGAATCAGATATCGTACATTTTCCTCTGAGCCTGAATAAAGATGGGGAAAATCTTGTAATTGAAGCAAACGGTATACGTCTTCCTTTTGATTTCGACGATAAAGTATCTGTAAGTATTAATATAGAATAAAACTTTGTATGAATTCTGTACTTCACGTGATGTATGTACTATATTCTGTTGTTCCGCTAAATTCTGTTGTTTTTCTATTGCAATTATTTTTCTCACATCAGGTTGAAATATTTTTAAAAATTTCAGTTTAAACATATTGTTTTAAAAATTTTGTTGAACAGGTAAATGTTTCGATAGACTATGGAACTCAACGCGGCTGGCAATGTTCCTATTCTACTTTTTTCCAATTATTGCAGGCTGTGAAATCAAAATTTTCCAAAGTTTTTTAAAATGCTTTCTACCAACTTGGCGACTCCTACTGTCCTGGGAAAGGTAGATGTCTTTAACAAGTTATATTAATAAATAAGCTATCTCTAAAAGATAAGCTATATATATATAATATCTAAAAAAATTCAAAAGACAGCCTATCGTAAAAATAAGCTTACGAATATCTATTAAAGTGTAACATATTTCTAAAAGATCAATCAATTAAAATCAATAAAAAAAGGTAGCTATCTTAAAATTAAGTGTCTTCAGAAGGTAAGCTGTCTTCAAATGTTTACTGTCTAAAAGTAATTGAATATTGAATGTGAAATTTCTGCCTTATTTTCGTGGCGCAGAACTAGGGCCATCAGGGCCTAGTCCATCCCTGGCCCTCCTTCCGATCAAATCTATCACGCAAATTTCGCTACGCTCTTTCTCCAACTAGCAGAGGAAGGAGGTATTCCTTGGGCGAGAACGGCGATTTTTGAAATTTAGTTTCAGAGCGTCATTTAGCTTTGAGGATCTTTGTACATGCAAGATAAATCTACTAACATGGGACAGCCGGCTTACTTCCCCGAAGGAAAGGCGTACGAAGTATTTTTTTTCGCCTTAAAAATCCACGGCTTCGATCGGGATTTGA